CAGTGGTATCAACCGAAGCAGTTGGTTTATCTTGCTCTAGGCCAAGACAGTCTCGTTGCAGAGTTTTTTCTTTTCACCAATAGTTCAAAATGATCCCTTAGCGTAGTCTGCTGACTATAACTTCTGAGCAGTTAAAAGCATTTTGTGACACCTCTGTAGCCAAGCAATTAGAAAAATCTCACTAGAAATGGTGGCTACATGGCAACAAAGAAAAACTGGCTAAGACACCACTAGCAACTTTAGGAAGGCTTGTTGTACTATACTACAGTACCCTGTGCAAAGCATTTGAAAGGGGTGCTTTGCGAGGTACAGTAATACAAATGAAACCCCTCTGTTCAAATCATTAAAGCAGCCACAACGTCCGCAAGGCTGCTTCAAAAGCTGTTCCTGGCGGTCTCTATGTGCAAGTCTTGTCAAAGATGAGGCTACTTCAATGACTCAAAGCACCCCTTTCAAATCCAACATGGAGGATGAGAAACCCAAAATATGAAAGAAACAAGTATGTGTAAAATAAATATAAAAATGGACATGGAAACATTTAGAATATTTAGAAATTTCATTCTAATAAAACAAACCTTTCTTTGGGCTGAAATCTTTTGGGTATGAAAATACTAGATTTTGACAAATTGCTTTAAGAAAAAGAATCAGATCTTGTTTTTAACGTGTCAGTTGAGCAACTGACATGTAGATTTGAGCATGCTCCAATGAACTTCCATGTGTGCACATAGCCACGTATATCTTTATGGCAGTGAGCTGCCTTGATTGAGACAACTGTTGCAACTGGTCTCAAGGTGAGGACTTTTATGTATTTGCCAGCTCCATGCAAAATGAAACCTAAAAGGCTCCCACACTGATTAAGGCATTTGTGAACAGGCACGTCTGCCTATTGGAGAAAATTCATAACAAGGGCAGATCTGTTAGGCAATGGGAGAGATTGTTGATGTTTGGGCTTTATTTATTTTATTTATATTTCAAATTTGTCACCGCGCATCTCACTACAGAGTGACTCTGGGCAGTTTACAACAGGTTGATGGACTGGAGGTGCTGTGTGTATCAAGAACTGGAGCTGCTGAAGGAGGCAAGTGCACTATTGAAGAGATGATCCCTTCAAAAATGAAGGATCTACCACATAGGATCCAGCAGAAGCAAGCAGGATCAAAAAAGGGAGATCTGCAGAGTGGACTGGCTGGTGAAAAGGACTGGGGCTACATTCAGAAAGGACACAAAATGCTGGGCTTTCTAAGAGTCTCAAGAGAATTTCTCCCCTCTTCCCGTCTAATTTAGTGAAGGTAGACTGTAAACTGCACCTATGTGGATAAGAGAGTGAAATATCTAAGAAACTGTTTTTTTTAAAAAAAGCTCTACACACACACACACACACACACACACACATATACATGTACATCTTTGTGTGTATTGTATGTACATGTAAGTGTATATTTCTATTAGTTTGTTAAGCTAAGGTCACTGTATAATAGAAATAAGCAGAGATTATTGACTTGAATTACTGACTTTAGCTTGTAGAAGTAACTCTGTGTGTGTGCGCATGTACATATTTCTGTGCATTTCCTACCCTCTCACAATCTTCTAACAGAACTTCTAAATAGGCTTACACCACATGTGGATTACAAAGCAGAATTGAGTCCACAAGTTATGTTCAGCATTTTATTGGCTTTAATAAACCTTAATTTCACCTTCATAGCAAACAATTATATTGGTTCATAAGTTAGAAAATACCAATTAAGTAATAAAATCTTCCATTGAGTCAAGCTTGGTTCCTGCTTACTTTATAGGTACCTCTATGTAGTTTCTTGGCAATGGTACAGAAGTGGTATGACCCTGCCTTTTGAGGCCAGCCTATAGTTCTGATAATTTGTTAGTATATCCAAGTAGTAACCAGGTTCAATTCTACTTATCTCTGAAGCCCAGGCAAAGTCAACAAAGTGTTGACATTATATTTGCATGGGTATGTCATCAGGTGAGCCATGACTCAAAGTTAAATGCATGCCCAGATTAGGACTTACATCTCTCTCCTGCTGGAAAGTAAGAGTAGTGTGTCTAGCTGAAATTATGACAATAAGACGTTCATGGATAAAACCATGTGACTTTTCTAATTGAATCATCTTCAGATCATCAAATATTTACCAAAAATACTGCTCTGTAGCCTTTAGCCCATTATTAGAAAAGGTAAAATATGACCTGAAGATGCAGAGATGTTCTTTATGTTAATCTGCATTACAGAATATTCCACATAAGGCTCTTTTATCCTCCAGGTCTAAATCTATTTTTAAAGATTCTTCAGAGATGTGGATGCCAAAAAAGGTAAGTTTTGCTACTGTGTCTGAAGTCCGGCAACGATTTTGGGACGGACAATTAGTTCAAGGAATGCATTTCAATGAAGCTGTTACCATAAGGGATGCCCAGAATTATAGGTCTCTTAACAAGAAATCAGTGTGTAGGTGTAAGTTTATTAACAACTTTATCCTGTTTTCATTTTTTCATA